ACTTATTACGTAATTTGATCATAAATTTAACGATTATAATTTTGTTTCACTCAAAGTGGTATGAAGTCTTGATTTTGAAATGATAAATGTGCTAAAAAATTGAATCGACATTTGATGTATTATATATTGTAGAATTAAATTGTATTATACTATTCCTGGGTATTTAAGTAAATATAAATGTCTTTAACGATACAATATTTCTATGTTATAAAGTAAAACACGGTGCAAAACTAAAATATAATTTTTTTGTTAAATTGCATTTTATTCCAATGGATCAAAAAAATTAACTTTCATTATTCAAATATTTAAATTTTAAATTCTGAGTGAAGAAAATGTCATGTTGGTCTTATCATAAAATGTACTCACTTTTACCTGTTGAAATTTCAACCAAAAATATTGCTCTCGCCAATCACTTATTCTTATTTCTAATAAGAAAGTAAGTTTTGTGTAGTTGGTGCATTCAGCAGATTATTTTTTAAATTTATCAACAGTTTTCCAAATGTATTTAATATTTAAATTATTAAGAAAACTGATGACAATTTATCATAAAACAACAAATTTTATGGCATACCGGTTATTCCTAAAAAAGTTTATTTGTTCTTAAAGTCGATTATTAATTAACTCGTAAAATAATTACTCTAGAGACTTGAAATTTTCTCTAAAAATCAATAATGATATTCACATACTAGACGTACTACAGTTTTCAAAATATTTTGACTTAAATCTTTCATTTTTTTTTTTTTTTTTGTAAAATGTTGATAAAAAATGTTGGTTTGGCATAATAACTTGAACAATTTTTTGAAATTCTTATATATTGTTTTAAACAGTACAAAAAAATTATAAATATCTTTGGCCATCATTTTTTGTATTAGCGTTTGAATTTTAAATGTTGACAAAACAAGACAAAAAGTACGAAAATCTGCAACATTCCTGTTGTTAAAAATTCGAAAAATTTTTAATTTTTTAAACTTATGGCTTTAAAATTGGATTTTTCAACAATTTTTTTTTTTTGTAATCAACAAAAAATATATTTATTTAAATACTATATTATAGAACATATTAAAGTCTGCAGAGTATATATATATATATATAAACATAAACTAAATCAACACTATTATTATTTATTTCTGTTGTCTGTTCATAATCATAACTATGTTAATACTATTTAAATATTCTATGTTTTAGGTTTAAAATTTAGCCATGAAGAATTGGAATACAAATAAGATTTCATGTGTAATTATTACTAAATTTGTAATATATCTATACGTTATCAGGTAAGTTGTATTATTGTTTTAATCATAAACACATGAAATACATTTATGTAAATTCTTGGAATTAAAATTACTAATTAGTATATTAACCATGCAACTACATAGACTTCTAATAACTTTATCTATCCAATATAATAAAAGTTTCTGAAATAAATGAGAAAAAATAAACCTTGAAAATATTACTTAAAACATTTTGAAAAATAATGTATTGTTTAATTGGAAATCATTTCAGGAATACTGCTTTGATTGTTTTAGTATATAATCAGTATTGAATCAAAAAATATCATGAAAGAATTTTTTTAATTCAAATTAATATATCACTGTATGTAGTGTATATTGTACATATATACAAGGATGGATCCAGTATCTATTTAAGGTCGGGGCAATGTATATAAAAAATTATATAATGTATCTGATTATAGGCGTATGTAGGGGTGTTTTGATGGGCTTAGATCACCTAAAAAAAATAGTGTAACAATATTGTACTAAACCTGGCACTTAACTCCAGTATCCTTCCTGGATCTGTTCATTCATATATATTATCAAATACAAGTATATCGTTAAATGTGCTTTGGAGCCTTTTTACATTTTAGATTTTTAATAATTCTATTGTCATGGTTTTTTAAAGAATGGAACATTTTGAAGCCTTTTTTCTTTAGATATCATAGGTTTTCAGTTTTAATTTATCAAAAAAATTGTTGAAATATTTATTTTTTTTTCTTTAACAGTTATCAGTTTAGGTGTATAAAATGCTTGGAATTCAGAGATATTTTGCCTGAGGATGCAAAGCAATACGATAAAATGAGACCACCCAAAAAAGATGGAATGGCCACCAAGGTACATTTTCATGTTACAGTGATGGGTCTAGATTCGATAGATGAAAATGCCATGGTAATTTCAACTATATTGAATTTTAATGTACATTTTATATTATTATACGTATTAACTTTTTTCTTTAAGACATACGCTGCTGATATTTTTTTCGCTCAAACATGGAAGGATCATAGGCTTCGATTACCCGAAAATATGACTTCCGATTACAGGTTTGTGGTAACAAAATACATTTTTAGTCAATTCTGAATATATAGGTATATACAGTAGCGTATCCAGGAGGGGGGTTAGGGGGTTATACCCCCTCCCCCCGAAAATTTTTAATGTATGTATATTGTCTATTATAATAAAAACACAAAAAATTCAAAAAAAAATTTAATGTTACATTTTTTATAACTCCCCTCCCAAAGAAAAAAATTCTGGATACGCCACTGGATATATATATATATATATATAATTTAACTTACCTATGATAATATGATTAATGAACTCAAAATAACGTTAAAATTAACACATCATTATAACCCATTTCGAAAATGATCAACATTTATAATAATAGACTACCTACTTTGATTCAAGATTATTAGAAGTTGATTGGTTGAAAAATATTTGGAGACCGGATTCATTTTTCAAAAATGCTAAGGCAGTAACATTTCAAACAATGACTATTCCTAATCATTACATGTGGCTTTATAAAGACAAAACAATTCTTTATATGGTCAAGTACGTTATTTGGCATTTATACGATAGTTTTAGTTTTAGTGTTGACATTTTATTTATACTATTTATTTTTTAGATTAACTTTGACTTTATCGTGTGCAATGAACTTTATGATATATCCACATGATACACAAGAATGCAAACTTCAAATGGAAAGCTGTAAGATAAATATTTTTTTCGTTGACCAAAAATATTATCAACCTGCTAAATTTAAAATTTTCTATTCATTTCAGTGTCACATACCACTGATGATATGATATTTCAGTGGGATCCAGATGTTCCGTTAGTTGTTGACGAAAATATTGAATTACCTCAATTACAATTAGTTAAAAATAAAACTGCCGATTGCACTCAAGTTTATTCCACTGGTAAATTTTATATTGTCAAAACTATTATCGGATGTTATTTAGAAATGTATAAGTATAAGTCTACAAATTAAGAACTACAAATTTTAATTTAAACGACATATTAATCATAAACTATAATTAATATAATTTTAAATATTTACAAAAATCAAATATTATTTTAAATTAGAAAATTACCTAAGGTTTATTTTTACTTGTGACATTGATAAAATGATTGTTGAAAAGTATATTTCAGGAAAAATTTTCTCTATAAATATAATTTTCATATTGATTAATAAACAAACTAAGCTTCCAAATTATCTAATCAAATAATAATGCCACTATTCTTGTTTTTTGCCTTTTCTAAGTCTCGAATAAATTATTTTTTTTATTTTTTTTATTTTATTAAAAGAACAAAAAGACCGCGGCAGCTATGGCCATTGGTCAGACAGTGACTTAAATAAATTACATAGTTACATATTTACATGATTTTATACAATATAAAGTTATATTTCTTTGAATAAGGTAGATTTTTATAGGAAAATAAATAGTTTTTGAGTTGCGGTTGGTTCCGGGCTGAAGATTTCATATAAGTGGGTGGCTCCAAGGGTTATCATACGTTCTTGCTGGTTATTTCTGCATTCTGTGAAGATATGCTTGATGGTGAGTTGGACACCGCAGGTAGTACAGTTGGGGGGATCCTCTCTTGTCATAAGGTGGCGGTGGGTTAGTAATGTATGGCCTATTCTTAGGCGGTTTAAAATTGTTTCTTGTCGTCTGGAACAACCGGGAGGAGGAGGCCATGGGAGTATTGATTTTTTAATTTCATTGAGTTTGGTTGATTGATTTGACCAATATCGTTGCCACTTTATGGTATTAAGATTTTTTATATATTTTTTTGCGTCGCTGTAGGTGAATCCTGGTACATTGATAGCTTTGGGTGATATGTGTGAAAGTTTTGCGACCTTATCGGCTTTTTCATTTCCTTTTATATTGCAATGTCCTGGAATCCACATGAAGGATATGTGTTTCCCGGCAGAACATGCAATGTGACAAAAGTTGTGAATATTTCTAGCTATATCGGTAGGGTTATTTATATTTTTGAGGCTTGTTATTGCACTGAGTGAGTCGCTTAGTATGATACAGCGTTCATCGTCGACGGATTGTATGAAATATTTGATTGCTTCTAGTATAGCCATGGCTTCAGCGGTATATATTGAACATTTGTCAGATAGTTTAAGTTGGAATTCAGTGTCACCACATATGATTGCAACCCCAACTCTTTGATCTGTTATGGATGCGTCTGTGTATATCTGTATATGAGGTTCGGCATTGGCTATGATTTCATTAAAGTGGTATTTATATATTTTAGGATTAGTGTCCTTTTTGGGGAGCTGATGTAGTTCGAGATTGATATCTAGGGAGATTGTCCAAGGTGGCTAAAGGCTGATAGTTGATGGTATGATCTGATCTAGGTTCAATTTGTCTTGTAAATTTGTGAATAGATTATTGGGAGATGTGGAGATTCCTTGTGGGGATCTATGGATTCTGGCTGCCAGTAGTGATTTTTGCTCAGCCCATATTAGTGATAGGGAGGGTATTCCTGCTATATTGGATATGCTGTTTATAGGGCTGGATCGGAAAGCTCCTATTGCCAGGCGCATTCCTGAGTTGTGAAGATTTTCGAGCTTTTTTAGGTGGCATTGGATTGCTGACGAGAATAGAGGAGATCCATAATCTATTTTGGACAAAATTAGTGATTTGTGGATCTTGATAAGTACAGAGGAATGGGCTCCCCATGAGGTATGAGATAGCATTTTGATTATATTGAGACGATTGGTGCAAGCTTGTTTTAGTTGTCGGATGTGAGGTGCCCATGAACATTTTGAATCAAAAATTATACCGAGGATCTTAATATATTTGTCATTTTTTATTATATGGTTGCCTAAACTAATTGACATTTTATTTTTGTTTTTGTTGTTGAATATAATGAGTTTAGTTTTTTCAGCTGAAAATCTAAACCCAGATGAATTTGACCAATTTCTTAGTGAGTTTGTGGCATCTTGTAGGATTTGTTTTATTGTTATTAGACTGCTGCTACGACATAAAATGGAGAAATCATCAGCGTACTGTATGGGAATGATTGGTTTTGGTGTTTGCTTGGAAATGTCATTAATGGCTAGCAAAAAAATGGTTACGGAAATTGAAGAACCCTGAGAAACTCCATTTTCTTGTGTGTATGTATCAGATAAGCAGTTTGATGATTTAACTTGGAATGAACGTTCAAGTAATAGGTTTTGGATGAAGTTAAGTGGGTTCCCTTTACTTACTATTTCGTTAAGTATGTACAATATTCTCGGTCTCCAAGTGGTGTCGTAGGCCTTGGCAATATCGAAGCTGATCATGCCTAAACTTTGTTTGTTGCTATTAGCTATTTCGATTTCTCTTTTGATACTTAGGAGATTGTTTTGAGTGCTTCTATTTTGTCTGAAGCCATTTTGTTCGGGAGATATGTATTTAATTTTTTCAAGGAACCAGATGAGTCGACGATTAATGATTTTTTCAAGTAGCTTACATAATGTGCTAAGTAAAGTGATGGGGCGATAGCTTTCGGTGAGATATTTATTCTTATTGGGCTTGAGGATTGGGATCACAAAACCGTGTCTCCAGTGTTTTGGGAATACGTTATTAACCCATATAGTGTTAAAGATGTCAAGTAGGTGTTTGATACCATTGAAGGGTAGATTTTGGATAAAAATATAAGGGATGCCATCTGGTCCAGGGCTTTTACTTTTGTTGGTTCTCAATACCATTTCCAATTCATCCATGGTTATTTGGGAGTTGATTAAGATTTGTGTGGTATCATTAGGGTCGATTGTGTTTGGTGGAGAGTAGTATCGATAGCGATTTATTTGGAATTCGTCATCGTAGTTGGAATTGCTTGAATTTTTTTGAAAATATTCTCCAATAGAATTTACCACTTCCTTTGGTGTCGATATGAGTTTAGAGTTGTATATAAGTTGAATATTGCTATGTCGGTTGGTTCCTTTGAGGGATTTTATTTTACTCCACACTACTGAGGGATCAGTCTGGTTATCTAAGCTAGATGTGAAGGTTTTCCAGGATGTGGCTTTACTGAGTTTAACTAAAAATCTAGTGCGCGCTCTATTTCGTTTTAATTCTACGAAGTCATTTGAGTTGTGTGTGTTTTGGTATTTTTTAAGGGATTTGTTTTTATTTATAATAGATGTTTTTATTATAAATAAACATTTATTTTTTTAAATTTAAATTTATTTTATATGAATTATAAATGAACAATGAAATTTATATAAGTAAAATAAATTATCTTTTTTTCTTTTTTTTTTTACATCTTAAGTACATTCCATATACCACAAAATATTACACACATCATGGACCATAGTTTTCCGGTTTTTTGTATTAATGAAAATTACCTGATACATAATATCAATGTTTATTCTACTTGTATAATTTATTTACACTCCATAGTAGTTATATAGAGGGAGTTTTATTTTTTATAATAATGATTATATTAATGTAATCTTATCCACCACATTTTTAATGAGAAAAATATTTATTTTAATTAATGTTATTTACCAGGAAACTTTACATGCCTAGAAGTAATATTCGTTCTTAAGCGAAGACTTGGATACTATTTATTTCATACTTACATACCTACATGTCTTATCGTTATTATGTCGGTAAGTGCCTATATAACATTATACAATAATTGTTACATATTATATACGTTATTTTAATGTTCGGTAGGTATTATAAAACATAAAAATCCATTATTTGTTAACACATTTAATATGGACCATTAATTTTTGTTCGTTAATAATTAAAATATGAACCTTTTATATCCAGCTTTAAAAAACTGTTTATTAATGAATAATATTTTTACGGTATATTTTTACTAGATTTTTTCAGTGAAAAATCAATTGCAACTTTTCTAAAAAATATTATTTATAATTTAAAAGGTGGCTCAACATGCTTTTCATTCGAAATATCAATATTTTTTATCAATAATTTTATAGGAAAATGGTAAATTGCAGCAAAATTAACCTTTTTCCAAAAGTCGATATGTAAACTGCCACGAGAAAAAATTTAACATTATACAATCTGCGACAAAACCGATAAGATACATTATACAAGCTACAGCAATCCATTTTATATACTAACGATATTATATATTATATAGCAGGAATGGGAAACTCAAAGTTACTAGAGGGCCAATTTTTAAAAAATTAATATCTAGCGAGCAAGAGCACAGAAAAAAAAACAGTCATTCAAAATATGAATTTTAATTAGCATTTATATACACAGAAATAATAAATTCAACACACACAACACAGCACGATACAAATGATACGAAGAAACTGATATAGTTAAACAGCTATGATTGAAAGCTATAATTATACATATAAGTACATATAATATTTAGACATTTAACGATGTTAAATACTAGATAATAATTATTATATCGATAATTTATAGTATAGACTCTACAGCGGTTCTCAACCTTTTTGAGTTCGTGACCCCCTATAATGTCACCAATATGTCTAACGATCCTTTTGTAATGTAAGAATTGAAAAATGTTATAAACTATTTTTATTATATTAATTTGTGTATACATTTTATAAAAAAAAAGTATATTATAAAAGCCGATTAGCGTTAATTAATAAAAATGATGTACATTTTAATATTTTTTAAATAATGACTCGTTTGCTGTTGTTGGATTTGAAATAATTTTTTTTTTTCACATGATGTGACCTTAAAAAAATTGTTGGTGACTCCCGGTTGAGAATCGCTGGTATAGACGATACACTTCAAAATTGTATGATGTAATTTTAAAGTTTAGTACGGGCTAGACAAAAAATGCTCACGGGCCGCCAGTTACCCACCCCTACTATATAGTATGTAATATGTACCTATGTGTACCCATGTACGTTTATCGTTTAATTAATTATGTTATGTTGTGTCTTGCGTACAAAATGATAAGGTTTATATAAATATATTTTTTAAATTTTAATGTAACATCCTAAATTTCGATTCCTTTACTTTTGATAATACTAGTTAGTAACCACTTACTAGAGTTAGATTTCAGTAGAAGTAGTTAAAAGATTATTATTTAATTCAACGTGATGGAATTTAAAACAATGCTTAGCCACAATGCCAAACAATATGAATACAAAATAAATGGTAGCTAATAAAACATGGGAATACGCAAAATGTAAAATAACATAATGAATTAAATGGTGTACGTATATAAGTATACATATTACATACTATATAGTATATAATATTCTTAGGTATATAAAATACATTTTTACAGTTTGTATAGTATATCTTATCAGTTTTGTCGCAGATTGTATGATGTTAAATTTTTGCTTGCCACAGTTTACATGTAGACTTTTAGAAAAAGATTAATTTTGTTGTAGTTTACATATAGCCATTTTATAATAAGGGCCATGTACATAAAAAATGTTATATAAAATGTATTTTTATTCTTCAATTGGTTTAAGAAAAAATCACTTTTGAATTTTGTATTTCCATAAGATTACCAAATATTTACACATTTATGAAAAAAAGTTGTTATGATAAATATAAACTATTTCAATCTGAAATCCAAAAGGAAATAATTGGTTTCATAGTTATAGTTAAAAGTTTTGAAAAAAAAAGAAAACGTACAGTTTGTTGTATTAACACTGTATGACTATTCGGTACTCGTCAAGTATAGCGAATGTTTGCCGATAGAGTATTCTTACGATACAGCAGGCTAGACTATTTCTGCACTAGACATTTTAAAGTTCCCAGATTAATATTTATAGCCCTGCTGCAGGACTTCACGGGCTCGTTAATCTCATAAAATATAACGTGGGGATGCAAAAGTTATGTGTCTTCAGAGTATCTATACTATTTTTTTCCAAGTCAAGCACTGAATTATTAATTTAATTGTAAAAAAAAAAAATTTGTGCTGCTCAGAATAATACTTCTTAAATTACAAATTTTAAATCTACTTTTAAATTAAAAGTTTCCCCTGCCTAATATACATCAGTATTTAAGCATTATGTAAAGAGTAGTCAGTATCTTGTATTTTTATGTTGTAAATTGTTTCGACCTATGATATATATAAAATAATGACTACTCTTAATAATACGACAACCTAACGTACTGTTATTCTGTATTTTATACGTATGTGATTAAGTCAAATTATGTAATTTTTTAATATAAATAATATACTTGATGTTAAAAATTTATAGTAAATCGTTCTATTAAAAATTGTCCTAGTGGGTTTCGTTTTGGATCAAACCTGAAGCAGCTCCTGCTCGCGTAACATTAGGCGTAACGTCACTACTAACGTTGTCAACACAACACGCTAAATCTCAAGCTGCGTTACCTCCGGTTTCGTACTTGAAAGCAGTCGATACATTTATGTCTGCGTGTACTGTGTAAGTAAATCAAGGTCTTAAGTAGTTAATAATATTTTTTTAAAAAAATCTACGTTACACAGTATAGGAGGTAAATCGTGTAACTATGTCGTAGAATTCACAAACATATAGTATGTACTACTTTATTGCATGTATTTTTAGTAATAATTCCATAAGAATGGATGCTTGACAGCAATATTTATATTGCCTTTACTATGATAAAAGTATTTTTTTTATATCTATTTTGAAAAAAATTTGATTTATGGTACTTAAATGTAATTATATTTTTAAAAACTTTCTTATTGGACGATGTGTTTTCTTTCGATCATTAGTAATTCCATAATTATTTAATAGAGTCAATAATATTAATTTCTAATCTCTGAAAAATTTATAAGATTATAATATTTCTTTAAATTAAAATACTTATTCAAAATTATTAATTAACAGCAGTATGAGCTGAAATTGGTCCTTAAATCGTTATATTATTATAATCTTAAAACTCTTACGTCATTATCTTTAATAAATAATATACATTTTAATAGTTTTAATATGATATTGATAACTTAAAATTAAATAATATATTTTTAATTATTAAATAAAAACAATGAATTTATGAAATATTGAGTAAAACTAGTAAATCAGTAAAAATTAAAATTAATATTAGTAAACGTTAACAAGTAATATTTATTTGTAATTATTCTTTTATCCTCGTAAATTAACTGAATTTTATTTGAAAATAATGAATTTAAAATTATTTAATAAACATCTCAATTTTTACTTTATATTAAAAAGAAATTTAATATTGGGAAATTAAATTCGTAGTAGATACTATAATTGGCATAGAGAATAAAGAATTTGATTTTTCGTGACAAACGAAAAATAATTAAGAATTATCTACATTGTAAATTTGTGTAATGTAGGTACTAATAAAAATTAGCACATTACACCCGTACAGACTGCCGATTATATAAATTTGTTCTGAACATTGATTATAATATGTTTATTATTATTATAATTAAAACTATTAAGTATTTTAATTTTATATTTTAGATTTGTGTTTATGGCTTTAATGGAATACTGTTTGGTGAACATTGTTTTGGGTGATTCTGACATGCCACCAAAACCTATAAATAAAAAATCGTTCAATTTCAGTTTTCGGGTAATGTATATCAAAATACATTTATTTACTTATATACTTTTATGTACATATTTATTTTAATAAATACTCAAAAGAGCTCAAATACAGTTAGGCAATGTAATTTAATTAACATTAATACAATACTATGATATTAATAACATAAAATAAATAAGGTTTAAACAAAACACTAATTAGCAAATTACATTAAGTAAATTTAATTAAAAATACTAAATAAACCATATGTTTAGATACAAAAAAAATTAAATTATAGAAAAACATTGGTTGGATAAATATAAATTTCTCGTAATAAACAGACTAAAATAAGTCAAGGCATTAGATTCTCTGGCAATTCGATCAAGAGGATTATTATGGCCATGAGAAGTACAATGAAATTAAATTTTAAACATGGAACAAAAATGTAAATTATATTGATACGGAAGTTAAGTTATTAAAATAATTCGGGGCCTGAAATAAAACCATTTACTAATTTGGACAAAAAATATATATCAGCGTATCTACGTCTATTAGTAAGAGAATCTAAATTAAGAGAATTTTTAATGGAAGAAAGAGATATTAACTCAAGTGGATTAATGTTAAAATAAACTTTACTCTTACAAACAATGAAACATAAAAATCTTCTTTGAGCTTGCTCGATCACCTTCACAATACCTATTTGTGAAGTACTATAAATTATTGAACAGTACATAAGTATATGTATAACTAGGGAAGTAAATAACGTTTTAAGACACAGTTCATTTTTAAAATCATTGGTGTTTCTAGCTGTAAACTCAAGACATCCCAGTACTTTTACACAAATATACACGAGCGGAAAATACTAAATTTGTTTGAAACACTACACTCTAAATTTCGAATAGTACTAGTTTATTTTATATGATCATCCAAAAAGTGATATATACATATATATATATGTACAGTGCCGCAACTACAAAATAGGAGGCCCGTGTGCGGTAATTATATTAAATCCCTTCCTAGGATTTATTTTTGTTATACGTCTTATTTATAAGTATCAATTTCTTTAAGTTATAAAACACGTTTCACATCAGTTAGTGTATGATATGTGTATATATTACAAATTAAATACCTACAACTGTTGTATATTATACTTCACTACATATTTATGTAGTAAATTTATTTAAGTAGTTAGGTAGGTATGTTTTATGCCTAGTCAAATACTCAATAGACTCATTGTTCAATAAATATTATATTACTTTAAAATATTATAACATTCTTACCGTAATTTTAAAAAGAGTTTCTTTTTATTATAAAATAATAATATAATATTATTAAATAATTGTGTGTTTGTAAAATGTAGTTTGTCTTAGGCTGGGTCTAGGAGGTCCCCCAAATGTATGTAAGCCTTGGGGCCCGTGTGCGTGGCACACTCTGCACACCCGTTTTTTGCGGTACTGTATATATATATATATATATATATTATTTGACTTGTTATTAGAGCAGGAAAAATAAAATTTTGAAACCCTGAGGTATAAGCTTCAGTTAATTTGGCTGATATCCATAGGCGTGTTTTTGGGTGTTGCTTGGTATACTGTAGTAACACCTGCTTTTTTTTTAGTGCAGACTTATTATCGTGTGATGAAATCATATCTATTAGAAAACAGGAGTAGTTTACCTCAAAAATTTCATGAACCCCCCCCCCCAAAATGTTTCAATGTTTAATTAATTAATGATCGGTCGACACAGGGCTCAGCGGTCCCCATTACTTACAAGATATTGTATAGTATATACTACGTATAAAACTAACTAACACCCAACCCCCACCCAAAAATAATTGTGGATACGCCACTGCATGAAATTATAAAACAAGAAATAAAAAATGAACTGTTACAATATAGCATTAGATAATATGATAAAAGGACTAAATTAAAGATTTAGCCAAGAAACATTGAATTTAATATCTTCTGTTGATATTTTACAATTGAATCCTACAAATGAAGATATAGAACTAATTAATAAAATATTTAAAATTTACGAACTTCACTTAGAATCTGAAATTAAATTACTTAAAGGATTTACTGATATTCCTAGTGGATCATCAACTACAACCGTAGGTTATTGGTTGGATTGGTTATAGGAATCAAATAGATTAAAGATTTTTTTATTTTTCTGCTGAAGTTTTATTGATATTTTTAATCATCCCGGTCACGAGTTGTTCATATGAGAGGTCTTTTTCAAAACTAGCAATTGTAAAATCAAAAATTCGAAGGACCATGACTCTAAATAGACTTGAAGGACTTTTATTAATGTTTGTTGAACAAGATTTACTAGCTAAAATACAATATGCTAATATAATCAAAGAATTTAAAAATATTGTTCCTTTTGACCGTCGTTTAATATTATAAATTTTTATATTTATTTGTATTTAATTTTATAAAATTATGTATTTTTTTACTAGGTTTATATATTTTTGTTGTAATATATCAATGTAGTTCATTATTAAACACTAGCACAGTTATAATTTAACTTAAGTGAGAAAACGTACTTTATTACTATGCGAATGTCGTTATTCTATAATATAAAACGAATAAATATAATTTTCAAACATTTTTTAGGAATATTTTAGACTTCAGCAACATCTGCTGTAAAAGTCTGGCCACGCCTATGTTAGTTTAGTTACTATATTCCATAGATGTTACAAAGAAATTAGTTTTTACTGAACGCCTCTCTTTTTTTTTTTTAACATTTATTAGAATATTTATAATCTGTAATATTAACAATAAGCATATGAGCATTTTCGTTTAAAGTATAATCATTTGTAAGAGTTGCCGTTTCGGTGACGTCGTTTGAGAGTGGAGAAAATCTGTTGTGTGTGATAAATAATGGTTTAGTCTTTTTGGTTTCCGGAATATCTATCGACGAAAGATTTCGTTTAGATGACTTTTTGGGATATTCGAAGTTATCGTCATTATTTTCATCTAAATCCATATCAGAATAATTAAATACGTCACTTGATCCACTCGGTATACGGGAGTCGTGTGATATTTTTAAAGAATTGACAGAACCGACTTTTTGTTTTTGATTGGAAATAGTAATAGAACGGGATGAGCTTTGATTAGACGTTTGTTTAGTGAGTGTATTTTTGTTCTTATTATTATTGTAATTAATACTGGGAGTTTGATTTTTCATTATATATTAATGATGTTTAATTATCTGGAAGTTAGATTGTCAAAAGTAATCGAAGGTCCAAAGGTCACCACGCGTGGCGATGCCTTGGAAAGGAGATAATAGAGTGTTTTTCATATACTGTGCGTAATTAGTAAATATTTGTTATTACTTTTTTCCTTGAAGATGAATTCGTAGGGTGCTGGTAAACGTAGGAACCAGATACAGTATAAAAAACTGAGTTGAATTATTGAAAACACGAAGATATCCGATGGAAATGAGGTGATTAATTGAAACATAAGAGATAGATTTATGTAAATTCACTATTAAACTTTAAATATAATTTCAGTAATCTATTATACAGTTTTAATTGCGAGCAACATTTGATCAGACAACTTTTGTGTCGGTTTTAAATACAAATTAAAATAAGACAATTTTCTACGAATACAAAACCTGAATTAAAAAACGTGACTATAGTAACTTCGTGAGCCGTCCGTCGTTCATGTACTTTAATTGCGGTTTACCACCCATAAAGTCGGTGAAAAATTATTTATACGATTATAATGATCGATATGTAATTAGCAAAAACTAATAATAGTATTTTCTCTGAATATGTAGCCATTAATTCAAAACCTGTGTTTATAACTCGAATAATTCGAGTAGGTAATTATTATCTAAATTCAAACAAAACCGAATACAATTATTTTTATATTTATTTTATATTATATTATTTTATTAACTCCTTATTAAATAGCTAATAACAGTCTAGATAAACCAATACACTAGATAATGGAAAAAAAAATTCTCAAGCCGAATTATTCGAAATTCCTTTCGGACAGTATATTACAATAAAAACAACTCATCGCAATCATGTTGATATATTATTTTTTTTTTAATTCTTAAATTAATTTTATTTTCATGTGTGCTCAGAACAACTTAAAGCTAATCGATGGCCATTCTATTCCACCACCGCCCCGCCCGCCACCTCAAGCGACTGCAGCCGCCACCGCCGCTTTTACGGCCAAGACACAAAGGAATCGCACTAGAGCCATAAACATTGATCGATTTTCAAGAGTGTTCTTCCCGTTGCTGTTCACCGTACTCAACATGACGTACTGGATCATTTTTGCTCGATTCTTGTAATACGCCGTATACCTATTTTGTGTATATTTGTTAGTAATACGTAGTGCACCTTAAAAGAGCACATGACACTTTTTCATTTACATTATTTATTTAATAGTTTATTATTAGAACCGTTGAGAAGAGTTTTGTAAAACTCCAAAGTAAAAGAAATATATTTCAAAAGATATTAGGGGTCTAACAAATCCGCGTGATATTGAGTTGAACTTAACACAGCCGCCCTCAAATTATACAGTATATGCAGAAATTCCTCTCTTTACGTAATGTTTTGCTATAAAATATTAGTTATTTAAAATTTGAAGAAAAAAATAATTCTGGACTACAATAATATAATTCTATCGGTATATGTTTGTACTGAAATTTACCTCAAATTAAATTAAAATTATATAAGTATCATTTTAAAGTAAATAAATCATTGGTCATATGATGTCTGGCTCAGTAATGTCTCAAAGCTTCTTTAAATTTCTCATACCTAACTTATTTAATAATGTGAGTATGAAAATGGTAATTGGTATGTATACTTTTTTTTTTTTTTTTAGAAATTAGTAAATAACGGATTCAACTAAATTTTTGTGTTGTGTGTTCTTTTAATAATTATATAGTTTCTCCTTACTGAGTATTTATTAATTGTGTATTATTACCTACTGGTTATAAACTTTAATTTATAAGCAAATATTTTATTATCAAGGTTGGACATTAGCAAGTGAATATATAAATGTAGAAGTTGAGTTCAAAGTTAGGTTACGTCTATTTTATTAAGTCAGCCTTTAATTAAATATTTAACCAACTTTATCTATTTGGTCGTATGAATAACTAATTTCTATTAAAGTTAATGTTTTTTTGTAAATTTAATTGATACCCGGTGTGCAAAATCCTATAGCATAGTAGTCGCATAGTTGTCACACTGACGGTTAAGAAGTTACGAATAAATGCCTGTTAACTTTTCAGAGATATGTTATGGACGCTTAACGCCAGGTTGAACGAAGTTACTGTATGCGATATCAACATGTGATTACTATGAGTAGTCAATAATGTCATATTGAGAGGTTAATAATGTTAGTACATAAAGATTAACGGAACTTCTCATTTTCTGCGCATAGACCTCGCAATGATTATTGTCCAGAAAATAAAAATAACCTGAAGTTTATTTCATGCTCGCTGAGATTTGAACCGTCCACCCCTTCCTACCTATTCCTAGACCTATACTACTGGGACACCCTATCGAGACATTGGGTAATAAATAAGTTAGTACCTATACTAAAAGTAAAAGTAAACATTATATATGTAACATTATACAATGATGCGTTTATAAATAAATCGGTGACGGTTTTTTATATCGAAACTGGTGGTAAATATACTTGTATTTGCAATACATTTTTATTTTTATGGTATATTATAATAAATAAACTATTTGGTATTATTAGGAATAATTTTCAATAAATTATTTAGGTATATAATTTATTATATTCATATTTAATAATAGATACTTTACTACTTTATTGTCAAACATAAAACGTAAAATGAAATGTAATAAAATAGCGAGCAACGACAACAAAATAAAATAATAAATCATAAACTATAACCAAATCATAATTATACAGTTCGACAGCGACCGTCGGGATGACGAAAATATACAATATTCGATAACAACGTAATTATATACATGTAACAATATCAATATATTCGAAAAGATGGCAATTAGAATGATACAACTTGATATGATGTTGTGGGTAAAACCTTTCGTGATAATTCTTATAATTTATTATTATACTAACGCAACATACACAACACACTAATAAATGCGCGTTTTTCGATTTACTTTGTTCATCATACTAATATGGTCATTATAAGCAAAATGAAAATGTTAAATATAATCTTATTTTGTAGATAACTTATATAGATTTACCAATTCAACAAAAATCTATGGTCCGATAACCGCTAGAGGCACGACAGGTTCCGTTTGTATCATTATAGTTATTACTACCATAGATTAAATATATTAAGTATATGTATAAGATATTTAATCGACGTAACTATAGTCTATAACAGCGTTTCCCAAACTGTGGTCCGCGGACCCTTAGGACTCCGCACGTATACCGGAGGGGGTCCGCGAAATTAAATTTAAAATTTATAAAGTATTATTATATATTATTGTTTTTTAATTTTTATTTGTACTAAGGGGTCCGCGATCATTTTTATTATCTCTAAGGGGTTCGGCAGAAAAAAATTTTGGTATTTCAAATTATGTTTCGTTAATAAATAATAAATAATTGACCACAAGAAAACGTTATATACATATATTTCGGTCTTTTATTTTTTGCTTAACATGGTCATTACTCATTACAAACTAAACTACGCATGGAAGTCCTTAATGTAACTAGATCATCCCGAACTTCATGCGATGACACATAGAAATTGAAATGTGTAGTCAATTTTGGGACCCAAACAGTACTTCGCATACAGATTAATAATTTACATTACATGTTCAATCTAAATGTGCCTACGTATGGAAGTCTTTTTTGCGATAAGTTTTTAGTGATGCTTATGAGATGGTTAATGGATATAAAATGGGGAGGTCACATTTGAGATTTAAACAGAATATCACATAGTAGTGGAAGTCACACTATTGCACACCGGGTAGCTATTATTAACATTTTAGTTAATTTTAAATGTTAGTTCTACTGAGATATTAAGAAATTCAACTGAGTAAAAAAATATAATTTATTTGCAGCCCAGCTTTGATTATGATAAAGATAAATATTCAACGTTAGTTTATCGACTTGCTTTCGGATAACAGTTAAATTAACAGCATATAGGTAAGAGTGGTAAAACGATTGAGCTATAATCTAGAGTCAGCCAATAGCTCAATGCTTTTATCATAGCCCATAGACCACTGATAAATATTCGTTAAATGGCAACCTTCGTTAAAAGACAAAAATAGTCTAGGTACTTTTTTACCTCTGATCACATGACATTTCTTTATTCATATAATAAAAATAATAAATTATACTTATTGGATAATACGCGTTGATTAAAAAACATATAAAAATCAATTATTATAGAAAAATAACGGTGTTTTTTTTTTATCGAATACACTTTATTCATATTGATAATAAATTTGACGCTATGTCCTAATCGAATCCGGGCAATGCGATGCGTGCGTTGCGTGCGGTGCGAAAAAACAAACCCGGTATGATCAGTACGGATGTCCTAATACAACCGAAAGAGTATTTGGTGTGGTAAAATTACCCTCACCGCAACACATGCAATATTTGATAATCAAACAAGTTTGATTTTATCTATTTCGGTGACGGTGGACAAGATATCTTCAATATACCAACTTGCATTTGAATGTTATACACTGTACATCGCAAGTCATGGAGAGTCGTATTTCAGAAGTTCAAAAAATGCGTATTTTATGGGATAAGTTCCATAAGCAATATAGAAGAGATAGCAAGATAGAATCAAAGTTGATAGAGAGTGGGAAGCTGTAAGGAAAAAATTATGTATGCCAAGTAAGTAAAAAAATATATTTTATCATAAATACACGTGTACCTATTATCTAGTAGTAATATGGACTTTACTTTAGCCATTTTTAATATCATAGTTAAGTAAAATAAGCAGTTAAAATATTTTTGTAAAATTTAGTGGCATATTAGCAAATTTCGAAGAGATAAATTATACCCGCATACGATAAGATAGTATTTAATTTTGCCACATAAAAATTACACGCAGCGGTTTGCGGTGCGGGCGGTAGACGCAAGTACGCACCGCATTGCCCGGAATCAATTAAGCCAGCGTAACATTCACAAAAATGTCGGAAAACCGAAACCACCTGTTTTAGTGGTATACACTGTATGGCACTATCAAATATAATTTTCGTTCGCCACCAGCTGACCATTGCAAACGGTCGGTTTTTAAGGGGTTTAGTATAGGCAATTATTTTAAGGCGTACGTGCATACCCTACATGTGTGTGTATAGTAAACTATCATAAGGACGGGCGCATATTGAGACGCAGGCGACGCAGTGCAGCGTAGGGCAGCGCAACGTAGTATTTGTCATCTATTAGTTAGAATGTATTAGCGCATATTGGTAGGCAGAGCAGGGTAGAGCAGAACTTTGTGTCGACCTGTGTCACGTAGTGTCCACGACACAGTTTACTGCATACGTGCCACACGCATTTGGAATATTTTTCATTTAAATTACGCCAGCCAAACATAATTTCCTCCTTTTTAATTTTGATTCGATATTTTATTTTTGTGATGGAAGAGTCTATAATTAATTATTATTCAATTATTTAATTAATATATAATTATTAATTATTAATTAATTAATAAGGCAGGTTAGGTTTTAGGTTTTTTTTAAAAAATAAAATTTTCAACAAAACACCATAATATTTAAAAATCAAAATCAAGGGGGCCAGTTCGGGGCCACTGATTTTTCTTAGGGGTTAGGCCCCCTAAAGTCCCCCCTTGACGACGTGCTTGGTGAATGGTGACACGGAACTGCGTAGTAATATGCACTAACATAGGTCACACAGTTTTTCCTGCGGTGCGATGCCCTATGATGCGCTGCGTGCAATGTGCGCCCGGCATTAGTGTTAAAGCGGTTGTATCCCTGGTTACATAATTACGCAATGTTGTACAGCTATTTTTCATATTATATTGAGTGTTCTAACTTCTAATATAATAGCAGTTATAAAACAGTGTAGGAAACTAGAAAAACATATAAACCAAAATACAAAATTTAGCAATCATTGCTATTGTTGACACTGAATAGCAGTTTGTTATTGCTATTACAAAAGAGCAGTGCTATTATAACCTACTACTGCTATTTTTGGTAAGTACTATATTATACTAACATTTTCCTTTCCATTTTAACAGACTTAGGACTGTCTATGATCTATTTAGACCACAGGTATGGTTAAAAATGTTTTTTATAGTTTTTTTTTATTTTTAATTTCTTTCCCATTGAAATATAAAATATTAGAATTGTGTTGGTAAAAATATTAAAAATTAAGTATAAAAATACATATTATAATATACTAGCTGAGCCGACAAACGTTGTTTTGTCATATAAATGATTTCTAGAGAATATTTTGCTAAAAAAAAATAACTAATTTAATATAATTGTGTAAGGATGTGGTACATAAGTAAAAGAGATATAGAGTGCTGTGAACGGCGACGGAATACAAAAATGAAAAAACATCAAACATTTATTTTTTTTAATTATATATATATATCGATAATGATGACAATATTAATAAAAAAACAATATAAATCCCTTAATGCAACAGTGTGTACAATATTTTTTTGTTATCCCATCTTTAGCCAACACAAACTGGATGATTCGTGCCACGCCACGTATAATTATCCGTTAGAAAAACATGATGTGCTCAAATCTAAGTCACAGGCAGACATCGTTTGGCCTTGAAACTTATTGATGGTCATTGCAAATGCCAATTTAATTGGAAATTGAATGCCTTTAAATTGTATTTGCACATCTGTAGGGATTCGTGGTAATAATATATTTTCACATCGGAATTTGACATTTAATGATGGCTTCGATAACATTTTTTTATTAATTTTTTAATGACTAATCGCGTGCCGTTGCACAACGGGGAGGGGGGGGGGGTCAAATTACGAAACAAAATAACCGGAGATCCAACCTTCAGTTGTAAATCATGCAGTGGCATACCTAGTAAATCCAATGAGTTTAAAAACTCTGTTGCATAATTTACAGCTAGAGTAGCATCGCAAACTGTATCAATAGATTTGTATGACACCAAATCTCCTGGTAACAAATGTTGTATCTTGAGATTCAATTCGTTGACGTCCACATTTTTTGCTGCTAAAATTGCTCTTTCTGCCAGCCACTCATGATTTGTGTATTGTCTGTGTACACTAGGAAATATCTGATCAATGAGAGCATCTTGCGAATCAATGATTGTGCAGAAATCGGTCGGTAATTGTATGCATCCCGTTTCATCTGTAGTAACTTTGCCATCACCGATATCTAACAATTGTTTTGAGAATCTTCCGCACGCAGCTTTTTAGGATTGAATCGCAAGTATCCGAAATCGTTCGCTCTCTATCTTTACATATATGTCGACCACGAATTGTTGACAAAGCTCACGACATCGTAGAATAACGTTGCCCTGATCGCATCTAATCAACCGATATGCATAAGAATCTTTCGAAGTAACATTCTTGATTGTTTTGGCACCTGTTGCGGGATCTTGTTGTTTAATATTTATGCAACATTCGTTATTTAATACCAAAAATAAAATTAATAACTTTTAAATAGCTTTTAATAGTTTTTTTAATAGTATCATTTAATAATTCATTTTCAATTGCACAGTTATCGACTGGGTCAAAAATTATTAAATTACATTACGAATTTATTAAACAATAGCACTTAGGTGTATAAAAAATAAATGAAAACCTATTCGCAGACCTACCAAATGTATATACAAAATTTCATTAAAATCGGTTAAGCCGTTTTGGAAAAGTATGGTCACAAACACTGAGACACGAGATTTTTATATATATAGTCATATATAAGTAAATGAAAAAATATTAACTAGTCTAGTACCTAAAATAATTCGGGACCCAATTCGGATACAGCCAATTAGATTTTCGAATTTTACTTCTCCAAAACAATTTATATATACACGCCGAAAAACACACACAATAGAAAAATATCAGGTTGCAGGTAGGTGAAAATCCCCAGGCCTCTGCCAAAAATTAATTTTCCAAAAACTTTGTAATTACTTTTTTTTTAACATTAATGGTACTAAAACCTTCAACAGACTGTCAGGTATAATAGTAAACAATTTGGTGAAGATACGTTGAACGGTGTGAATTTATATGCGTAAAACAAATTCGGGACTTGCTCTTATAGTATAGAGTATAATATAATATTATTATAATGACATGTAAGTCGATTGTTGGGCAATTTTGCAATAGCAATTGGCGTGTGTTGTAAGACTACCTGACAATATATCTACTAAATACATTTTCTTTTTTTCAAAAATTAATAAATATTTAAAATACATTTAAATACTTAAAACTTGGATTGTCATTCATGAATGAAATACGTTTCCAAAAGAAGGAAAAAATGTCAAAAACTATATAACACTCAAGATACTATAAATGTACCATAATAGCATTATGCCATATACGAGATTCATCATTATATCTTATAGTTTTATCACAGATTTTCATAATTGATCTATTGCAGAACCAATAATTCATCGAAATCGTTGAATGAGTTTGCAACATGCGATAAGTATAGCTTCCGTACACTTACGTTCAAGTCACCATTACCTCGTCGTGCGCGTGAAGAATACAGAACGTAATGTTTTATTTGACAAAAAGTATGTTCTTTTTATCAATTCTACCATCCAATCTAATTATGCAATAATATTTCTGAAAACTGATCTGTTTTTGTTATAATATCTTTTTGAGATCGATCAGTCGATATTTTAAGATTTCTTATTAAAATCTGAATAATCAACGTTTAAAAATTTGAGAATTTGTAAGTATTCAAATTAAATTTATAATTATTAGAAAGTGAAATTGGAAAATGTGGATAAAATATGTTCCTTTAGGAAAAGATCACCCGATCTTGCACGAAATCGCAAAAGTGCACGAAAGTTGCCATCATTATAGGAGGTTCTGTTAAACCTATTTTGCCAGTTTCATTTTTACCCCTTAAAGCTATTTGTTGACGACCACATAAGATTACGGTTTCAACAATAGAAATCAATTTTTTCCTATTTTCTTCGGCTTGTTTTTTATTTTCTGAACTTATAGATGTTATAATATCAGTAGTTTTCCCTGTCATAACTGTCATAAACCCTTGAGCTTTTCCAACTGATAACATATGATAGTCTGCCTTACTATAACTGTCAAATACTTGTTTAGCTTCTTTCCAATTTATAAATGGGACCACTAAAGACCGTAGTTCTTGTCCCCCACGACCACCATGATTACGACCAAATAAAACGCACACTTTGCAAAGAGCTCCTTTGGCAACATCTGAAAATACGAGCCAAGAATATTTTTCCATCCAGTGGCGTTGGAAAGAAAGACGTCGTTTATCACTCGTAGGAAATTTATATGATAAAGGTGGCATCCACAGTTTTTGAAAAACTTTTAATTTTTTTTCATTATCTGTCGGTGGATTTCCTAGATAAATTCCTACATCATTTTCATATGATAGCTCCTGTTCTGCTTCAACAGAAGAAACATTTTCAGGAGAATTTGAAACTTCAGGATCAGTCGAAACGAAAAGAGACGAAGGTTGAATAATTTTGTTGGTATCATTTATACTTTCAGATTTTTTTTTCTTCTCAAAAAATTTTAAAACCGATGGCTGACTTATTCTCTTTATTTTTTTTCTGTTATAAAAAAAAATAATTTTTTAATACGCAATCTTCTAAAATAATTTGAATTATCTAAATATAGAATATTAGAAATTAGAATTTTTAGAGTGAAAATAGTCTGCCCAGTGAACAACAAAAACATTATATTCGACGTTCAATAAACTATATAAAGTATATTTTTATTCGAAACAGTAATATAAAAACTGAAAACGTATAAAATACCTCTGTCTCGATTCGCGATTTAACTAATCTATTACATAACTAAATTTTTCTAAAATAATATTTAATGTTTTTTAATTAAACTTCAAAAAGTAAGCATAGCGCAATTTTTAAGTTACCATAAAATGTTAAATTTGGTAACAAAAAACACAAGTTAAAAATTAATTAGACTTAGAATTTTCTTTAAACGTATATTTAAAATTTTTAATATTGCATTAAGAGGACGTTATACACTCATGTGTTGGATAATTATATGATAAACATAACCTGTCATAACCGTTTACGAAGTAATAATATATATTCATAAATCATAAACCCATAAGGCCATAACATTTATTTATGTTTGTATGTGTTGACACCGGCGATCGGCAGTGAATGTTTTAAATATAAATGAAAAAAACAAAAAACAATTTGAAATAAATAATTCTGATTATATTTATAAAATATAAATTTTAAGAATTAATCAATTACCTGCTTTGGCTGGAAAATAATATATAGATTAAACGCAAACGTCGCAAACTGACAACTTCACTGCGCAACCGCTCGAGGAAAAATGACTTGATGTAAATAATTGGTAATTTCGTAATGTCAAACACAGTTATAAATTCTTATACTAATTAATAAACTATTATTAGCAGTATTGCTGGTACGTCCGTAGGTATACGTTCGGCGCGTGAGCCAAAATAAGATAAGATAAGGGCACGCAATTTTGAAGTCAATATTTTATATAAATAACTATTACAATATTTAGGTTTAGGTATATCTAATATCTATCTAGATAATCATAATTTTTTGTACTACTACTTTCAAAATTATTTGTAAAGTTGTATTACAAAATTATTAATCTTCACTCTGCAATATATTTTTTTTTCTAATGTTCAACTAAAAAGTAATTTTAGTTGTTTATAGCACCTACATGCAATTCGTCGAGACGTTATCGTAATTCAGGGAAAAATAATCTATATTTTTATTGATTGTTGTTTTGGAATTTTATCGATCTACACATTGTTTACATATTGTACTTTAAAATATGTTCAAATCTAAAATAAACGTGAAAAATAAGATATTTAATTTTTTCTTATATGCCGCCTCTATATAAACATAAATTTTGCCGCCGTAGGCTTGCGCCTACGTCGCCTACGCCTATAACCGGCTCTGTTAAGCATTATATATCATTTTTCCGTATTTCTGTCCATGAATAACATTTTTTCCAAATATTATATTATGGGTTGTATAAAAAAGGCGTCAGATGGCATTTTGGCCTGGAGCATCATTTAGCCTTGCGCCGGACCTGCAGATAGACAAAATCATTTCTACACGGAAAGATTTATGTAAGGAAAATTTATCATTTATATTTTTTAAGTAATTTATTTTATTCAACGACGGGTTGAGGATTTAGATTAGCTGTTGGGCACTATTATACACGATATTAAATGTATATTGGTATTGCTTCAATACAAAATAAACTTATAAAGTCATGTAACTGGAAACGTGTGAATACAATTCAAATATTTACACAAATGTTTGAATTATAACGAATTTTATCAGTATTAAATACATTAGAAATAAAACGTAAACAAAATAAAAATATAATGCAAAGATTGCATTACATAAAATAAATATTAGTCTTGAAATTTCATTATTTTCATAAACGATAATATAAAATTTTATATACTTTTTTTTAAGTGTGCAAATAGAACGTGCAAATAATAAAAAAAAATTCTAAAACTATTATTGTATAATATAAATATACTTGTATTGTAACATAAGCACATGCAATTCAAAAATAATTGCAATAAATAAAATACAAACTAATAATGTTACTAATAATTATAATAATTATTAATAATAATATTATTAATATAATGATTATTATTATTTTTAATATTGAAAGAATATTCAATTAAATAAAACTATTGTAGAAATAAACTAAAAATTAATGAACAAACAATAACCATTACAAATGTTTCAAATATCTAATATTTATCTAGCTAAATTATAAATTAAATACTATATATCCATACAAAAAACTGAATCATACATTTTTAAACCATTAAGTAGTTTTTAAATCTTAATAGTATAACCTATAACACTAAATTTTGTTAGCAAAATAATACAAATTTAAATCAACACTAAATTACAGAAATGGTTAGTCAATTTCGATAAATAAATAAAATTAAAGTTCTAGGAGTAAGAGCTTTAATTTTGAAGCCACAAAATTACCATGCTGCCAAACAGTTTATTAATATTAGTGTTACTTAGGGTATTGATAAATTATTCTAAATAAAAATTAAATACATATTATAAAACTAAAAACATAAAACATTACAATTATATATACATACACTACCACATACACACATATTGATCAACAACAAATATTACATACTATTTACTTAAGTTGTCATACTTACGAGGCTATTATTATTATCATTATTATTTTTATTATTTAGTTAACCATATTAATATTCTTCTTGTTCATTAGTTTTAGATTGACATTCATCATTTATTGTATCATCTAGTACTCTAGTAATCGACCTTCTAACGGATTCTCTCAATTTATTTTGGTATGCTACCATTGCATTAGAACTATAAATAATATTAAAAAATATACATTAAACTATTATTAGTTTTGTTTTTTTTTTTTTTGAGTTTTTAAAAATTATTGAATACTATTTATTAATTAAATTAGCTTAATAGATACAAACGAATAAATATAAATATATCATATTAAATTAAAAATATAATATAATTGCATTTTGGTTATGTCACATAAGACTGAAAACAAATATCACATGATATGTACTCATGTATATCTGCAAGTACTTATAAGCAATGTCTATCAACCTTTAAAAACGCAAATAACTTTTAAAACATCTTTAATTTAAAAAAAAAATTATCGAGAGAATGAATATTTAAAAATATATTATGCAATTATTACTTACCACTCTGTATTAACATTAAGCTTAATTTTGTTTGTTTTTACATACAATGTTACATAATTTTTGTGAAATGCGCCCTAAAATAAAATTCAAATTGAAAACAGATAAATAAAAATCAAATTAATTTTTCAATTACTTCAATTTTAGGTTTATGAAAGTGAGCTTCGAGCGTTTTATTATCAATCATCATGGCAAACTTTTCATTTATTTCTCTATCAAAACGAATTCTATTATCATTTTCGTACAAACTGCAAAATATTGCTTGAACAGGTAATAAACCAAAACTTCTTTCCAACAGACGAATTTTAGCTCTAGAAATTATTTCAATTGATCCATAATCAATATAAAACACCTGGAAAAAAAATTAAATGTAAAATAGATTTTTTTAGTATTTATTTTTACAATAAATGTGAAATATAATTTTAAAATAAATTATGTTGCAGTATTGTTATACCATTTCCATCTAAATATTCATAATAAATGAAAACATATAAATATTATAATATAAGGAATACAAAAAATATTATAATCAACTAAAAAATGACTGTACTGATAGTCATGGATATAACTGTAAGAAATGCAAGTAACATATCCGTATACCTTAATAAGTATACAACAATATAATGTCTGTAAATATGTTATACTTTATATATATAGGATAATCAGAATTGCATGTGATTTGTGATATATTTCTCATATAAATATGCAAAATACAAAAATATCTATAATTGTACTATAATATACATGTAATTGTATAAAAAAGTTTCCCCTTCCGTGGATAATCAAGAATACACAGTAGATATAAATATGTTTATTTCAAAAGTTTGGTAATTGGATTAATATAAAATCATCATGTAATAATCACAATACCTATATAATCTCATAAAGTAGAGGAAAATTAAATGTTATATGAAACATAAGTTTTTTATGCTATATTTTTACAGCAATCATTTTTTTCTTATTTCAAAATTGTATTATTCTACATAACATTATATCATATGTTACATTTTGTGTAATTAAAACTGTACTTTTAGAATAAGTGTATATTTCATTATACAGTAATTATAATCTATATTATTATTTAAAATAGTTAACCATAATAAGAGGAAACATAGTTATTATAATTGAAATCTAAAATAAATAGATAATGATACTATTGTTTTTTGTTTCATAAAACTTAACAAATGAATTATAATTATGAAAATTATATTATCACATGAAATTTTAAACTACCTATCTGTATAGATAATATTAATTTTATTTATAAATGTATGTGTAAATACGTGAATGCATAATAAAATTAATTCTGTAGACTGTATTTACTTTTACATGATCTTCATCAACATAATTCATGACTTTAATTCTATGCCACTGTTGGGTATCTTCAAAATATGCAACACAAGCCAATCCAGGGATTATTAATTCTGGCATTACTGTGTATTTGTATTCGTTATTATTATAAAATATTCTAAATTTAAATACATTATTAAACTTTGAAATCGTATAAAATAAATTTTACTATATACAATATATAAAAGATAAAACTTACTGCAAACGGTCCATGAAACTATTTAAGTTATCAACACTTCGAGCTAAGTGGAGGTAAAAGTAATTTGGTCCATAAATTTCAGCAGCATAAACTTTATGAATCTTTTTTAAACCTAGATCTAGTTTAGGATACACGAATCTTCCACCATACACGTCATTGCCAGAATAATTTAGTAGAAAATCCTGGACCTAGATTAAACAAGAATTCTTATAGTAATATAATTTAATACATGGAGAATTGTGACTAAGTGGCATAAGACCACAGAGTATAATAGAAATGACAGCTATTTAAAACGATTTTTGTTTATATGATAAAATATGATGCTGCGGTCACGGTGTAACATTAATAGGATGCGATGAGCTTAATAACGATATAATAACACTACGGCCTTATAAGAAATGTAAACACTTCTGATTGATGGCACAAGTTTGTCTCAGAGATTCGTGCTCATAGTGTATATATTATGATCTAAGATTAAGTAGATGTGTTTAAATTATGGCTTTAGATAATATTATCTATAGCCATGGTTTAAACCCAGTTACCAACTGTTTCGTTTAGATAAGAAGAGTACGTATTACTTCGGTACGCGGTCTTACCGTAGCGTAGTGACAAAAAAATTTTAACAATGTCCGTGACATATCGAGAAGATATAATTATAATCTACATCACGGAGGAGTCATTAATTATTACCAATAAAAAAAAATAAAAAATATAATCCAAGAAAACCCCAATAAACTGAAACTATAAATAATTATTCATAGTCTAAAGCCATAGAATACATGAAATCAGAATGGTCACTTGCATAAGTAAACAAGATTCAGCCGCCAGATCTATGGAGTCGTAATTTCTTATTACCTAATAAGTAATAAGAGTGATAACATTAATTCAATAGTAATTGTATTAAAAACATTGAACGCAATTCATTGTTTTCATACATATTGTTTATTAAATTACATAATATATAATATATACACAGTTGGGACTCCATAAAAATGGTCAAATGATTTTTGAACTTACTCGTGTTATCTGCGTAAAATCTTACTAATGACCATTCTGATTTTGTTTCGGACTTCTCATATTCTTTGACAAGAAGGTAATGTTGGTGTAATGTCCATAAGCATGCGCACGGGTAGTCAGTGTAGACACTTAACTACTCTGTGAACCTTCCCTTTATCATTAAAATATTCAATATTACCACAATAATAAATAACATAATTATGTTCAACCACTTCGAAATATCCGTAAATGGTAAACACATGAATAGGGTGTTTCAAAAAGAACGCAGGATTTAAATCTGCAATAAATTAAATTTATCTTTTTTCAAAAATAAAAATATATCATTCTTTTCAGGAAAAGTTATGGTATTAATAGTGAAAAACAATATCGGGTATATGACCCTCCTTACTAGCCCTACAGGCGATTATTCTTTTCCTACAATTTACCATCATTGGATAACACATTGCCCCATCAAGTTCGTTGAAGACACGACAAATTTCTTGTTCCAAGACATTTCAAACTTTGTTCGAATAAACTCGCAACTTAATCCATCCCTATAAGAAAAAATCACACGGCGTCAAATCGGAAGATCGAGGTGAGTAGCTTTGACCAAGCAACGAGATTAGAGATTAGTCTGTCTGGAAACATTTCACGCAGCAGAGGATTTTTTATTTTGAAGTGTAACAAGTTACAACCAAATATTTTTGATGTTCATTTGATCCAAATAAGGACAAAGAAAGTTACTGAGCTCAGTAGGTATTCTTGTATGGTTAAAACAAGACAGCAAAACGTATTACACTTCAAGAGAAATAATCCCTCCACTGCGTGAGAAGTTCCCAGACAAACTAATCTCGTTGGGTGGCCAAAGCTATTGGTGGCCCACATCGATTTTACTACATGATGCCATGTGATTTTTTCTTATAGGGATGCACTAAGTTACGAGTTTACCAGAAAAAAGTTCAAAATGTCTCGGAACTTAAACAAGAAATTCGTCGTGTCCTAAACGAACTTGATGGGGCAATGTGTTAACCAGTGATGGTAAATTTTATGGAAAGAATAATTGCCTGTAGGAATAATAGAGTCATATGCCCGATATTGTTTTTCACTGTTAACACTTTAACTTTTCCTGAAGAGAATGATATATTTGCTATATTTTTTTAAAAGAAATAAATTTAATTTGTAGCAGATTTAAGTCCTGCGTTGGTCTTTTTTTTTTTAAAAAAAAAAATAGCTAAACTGTAAACGGATTTTTTCAATATGTTGTCTATAACAATCAATCTTCAAACGATTCCCGCTTATAACAAATACTATTTCAAAAATGAATGATTATTTCACATTAGACCTCTCACAAATTATTGATTGCTTTTATTATTATGAGTAATATGATTATAAAGAATCAATCTTTTACTGGAATCAAAAAATAAAAATAAAACCAAATTTTATGTTTCAAATGTAAAATTAGCCTTTCGTAAAATCAATATAGTGAAATAGAATTATCTAATCACTTTACGATACTTATGCATCAAACAATTTTTATTATTAAATCAAGTTTAAGTTAGCAATAAAGCTGGTGCAAAGACAAATTACATCAAATGGCCAAATGTTTAAAACCGTAAAAACCAATAGGATGCCATTATTATAGAACTGACGTGATCAGGAAAATTCCACTGTCAAAACACTGGCCATCGATCATATCTTTTTTATAATAATACAAATGTTAATATAATTTGTAATTGCGTTAAATTTTAGTAAAAAGCAATTCATTTTTTTTATTGATTATGATATTAAATTAATATTTAAAATAATACAATTAAGAAATAAGTTATAACTAGTTATAATTTATGGAATATTGATACCAGGTCTTTTAAAAACCTGTAGACACGGTAAGACTAGGGTGTAATTATTTTATTTTCATGTCTAGATCAAGCAAGATAATGTGGCTGCGTAAAAAAAAAAATACAGTCGCTAGTTCGAACGTAGCAACTGGCGGTTTCACTTTCTGGAGGGGATAACCACGCAGAAAATAAACTGCCCACGTCTCCTTACTCAAAATATATATCCAACAAATAAAAATCCACTATCACACCAACACATAAAATAATAAATATACAAGTAAATAAAAAAAATTAAAAAATGAGTAATAGTGATATTTTAATAAATATTTTTTAATTTAATTTATTAATTATTTATTATTTATTATTATTTATTATTTAAATGGGTATTTAAGAAAAAACAAAAATAATTAACCATAATATTAAATATGTTAAACAAATTTTCAATTATTAAAAAAATATATTCTTTCTCAATAAGAAATTCAATAATAGCAAATCAAAAATTGAAATCCCATTGAAAAACATGTTGAGTATTACAAATTTATTACATGTTATTTATATTAAACCAAATAAATTTGTTCATACTTATATTTTTTAAATTTAAACCTTATTTCCATTTAAATCAAGTTATAATAAGGATGACCAATAAAAATATAACTATTCAAGACCTCCAAGTATAAAGAACTGAACTCAAGAACTGAAAATCAAGTGTTAATATATTTTATTTTATTATGTATTTATATTAGGATAGAATTTTATTTTTATTCACAAAATATCACATATATTTATGATTGTACGCGAAATTTCCATACAATGATACCTACTGGTAATACAGGAGGAGTTATTCCAGGCTCCTCTTCATCATTATTTTCAATAGGTATGTATGCATAAGGATTTATTGTATACACAATATTGTTTTCAATTTTGACCATTTTGTTCAACGATTCAAACATATGTCTTTCGGAAGAGTAACCATATTTTAATGGTTCATATAATCGGCCAAACTTTGACTAAAATTAAATAATAAATAATTAAAATATTGAACTAGTTAAAAAGCATATATTTGTATTATATATAATTATACAACTAGCTAAACAATCCATATTCATCCAAGAATCCAACATTAAATGTTTTAAAATAAATTTTATTTTTATAAGTACCCATCAATTAATATATAGAATTTGATAGGCAGATAAGTATTCCGAAGATAAAATAAATGTAGGATAAACATCTATATAATAATTGATTAGTGTATATTACATAACATATATTGCTTGGTAGAATTAATCTTTGATAATATATAATATAGTACATTCTAAAAAATAAACTACGTTTTTAAGTCTGTTATATTATTTTTTTTAAAGGTTATTATATTGATAATAAGTATTACTTGCTGTAAAAAAATATATTAAAAATCAATATATGTATGGAATTTTTTTATCTTTCTCTAACCAACAAATTAATAAAATGCTATGTTTAAAACTTTGGAAGACAAAATACTAAAATACAGCTTTATGAAAATAAATAAGAACATTTTTAAAAATGTCATAAAAATGGTACATCAAACAACTATATCCCTAAAAAAAAACCTAACCATTAAAAAAGGTGTTAACCAAGAATACTTAGGCAAGTGTTCATAATAATTATTTGAAACAAACTCAGAAAATGCTAAATGATTTTTTGTCAGAATAAAGACTTATTCTTTTATAAATAAAGCAACTATCAAAGTTAACAATTAGTAATATTCAGTATTATCAGTAATGACTAGTCATTCATTATTGACTTAAGCTAATTCAGATAGGCAAGAGTAGGCATTACCTAAATACTATATACAATGATTAAAATTTATTATTTATATAAGAAATATTAAATTTATTAAAAAAAAAATTTAAAAATTTAAAAATAGATATAAATAAATATATGTTTTATATTTAATGATATTTGATTATTGATATACATCTGTCACAATTTATAAAGTTAAATTATAATTTGACTCTAAAATACACAATTTATGAAAATTAATTTTGTATTTTATTTATCAAAGATAAAAAATAAGATATTAGTAATAAGTTCCATGATTGATAATTAGATACTAGATTAGGAAACATTAATAAATGACAATGACTAAACATATCAGTCAAATACAGTAATATACACTAATTGCCCACATTGATGGTAATTATTCAAGAATAAAAATAAGTATACATTACACAGTATAAAAACTTCAGTTCATGAAATTTAATACCATTTTGATGATTATCAAATAATATAGAAAGGTTTTTCAATATAGACTTTGGTATATTTTTATAATATTGAAATGGATCTGAAAAAAATAAAATTTTAATGATTAAAATAAAATAAATATAATATATAAATATATAAATCATAATGGTAAATGAAATTAAACATATTATTAAGTATAGTAGTGTAATACAAACCATGACATTCTATTTTCAATTCCTTTCGCCTACTAGCATTATAAAGATAATATTCGCCACATTCAGTCACATAAACATAAAATACAGATGGTAAATTGTAAGCCATATCTCTCATACTTTTGAATCCATACTCAGAATAGGTAAAATAAGTTTTATACTCTTTCTATAATATAAGGTACAACAATTAATTTTTATTATTATTACAAGATATAAACATATTATTTTAAATAATTCTATAAGATTCAATAAAGATCCAGATTTAAATAATTTCAATAACTATTTATAAGTATATATAATTTTCTCTCTAAAAAGTTTATAAAGAATATTAAACTTTTTATTTAAATTTATTTTTTATTTTATTTTAAGATAATTTTATACCATATTATGTATAAAAAAAAAAAAAAAAATTAAAAAGAAGTAACAATAAAAAAAATTCAATATTTTTTATTTTCAATTATTTTAATTTTTATTAAATATCGTGTTTGAGAAGCAACCTTAAAAAAAATTAATTCTATGTTTAAAATCAATGTTTCAAATAAAATTAAAAAAAAATTGAAGCATAAGTCATAAAAATACCAAAATGTATTTAATAGTCTATTATATTAATACAAAATGTAATATGTTAAAAAAAAATAAATAAATATTTATCACCATTTAGTTTATTAGTGACAAGATTATAATAATTATTTAAAATATATATTCTATATCTAATATGTATAACATTAGTCTAATGTTATACACATTAACTAATTAACATTAACTAATTGACTAATGTCTATAACTAATGTTATTAATAAATATATTTCATATATAAATACAGATTTATAAATAGTAGATATGTCTACTATTATACTGGTCTTTAAGTTAACAAATATTGTTTTATAATATGTTATACTTACACCATAAACCTCCATAAATGCATCACATAATATACCATTCTTGTATTTATTTAATAGAGAACGCATTCTATTTTTCATTGAATCTAAAATCAATTCAGAGTCTCGTATTTCAATACAAGAATCTGATGAATCCAAAAAACTAAAATTTAAAAATAAAATGAAGTACAAAGTTTAAAGAATGTTAAATACCAGTTAATATTTAGTATTTAGTATTGATCAATGTGTCAACATATAGGACACTGTACCTAGTAGAAAATATAATATTATAATGAAAATTCTTTTATTCTTATTCCATCTAGGAATTTGAATTTTTCAAAAAAATTATATAAGAAACAAAAGTAGTTTTCATTGCACATTTATTAACTATAAAGTTTTTTAAATAAATAAAATTAAAAAGTTAATTACTACTTACTATCTATTAACAACATTTTCATTTATTTTCTGATGACTAATATTTTCTGTGACTAGTTCCAAAGCATTTTCATTCATTTTTTGATGATTGATATTGTCTGTGGTTTGTTCCAAAGCATTTTCATTTTGAATTAAATTAGTCATTTTTGAATTTTTATTATTATTATACATAAAGTATGCTAAAATATAAATAACATAATAAATTGTGCAGCTAAAATTATGTTCATAAGTCTAATTAGTATAAATTATATACAATTATATAATATGATATATTTTTATATTAACTATATATTTCAAAATGTACAATTGTGGTTATCATGATCAGGAATACTACTTATATTTATTCCTTATTTAAAATTAAAATTAATTTTATGTTTAAAAGAATTGCTTAGGACATTATAGAAAAAATAGACAGTATATGAATCATGAACACCAGGAAAATGTATAAATAAAAAATGAAAGAATATCAAATTAGCAATCAAAAACTATGCTGATACTTCATCAACAATTGAGAACAATAATCTAAAAAAAAACGTAGATTGGCATAAAAGCAATAAAACTTAAAAATGAAAATAAACAGTATAAGAACAAAAACACAAGAAGAGAACAATAAAAATATTACCAACTAAGGTATTAGCTTAACAAAGAAGCCAGGAAATCCAAAGAATGAGTGGAATAGTAATGTGGAAAAATTGATGACCTTTTAAAAGTTAACAAATTAGTACTACAAGGGCCACAAATTGCCGAAAAAAGAAAAGAAAATTGTAATAAATCAGGAATAAAAATGGCTAATCAGTTGATGACAAAAAAATAATACATTGGTATCTGAAAAACTTTATGACGGAGAACAACTGGATAAATTGATGAAACATAAAAAAGAAACGAACTAACATATTTTAAGATTAGAATTTTCTAAAGCACTTAATGAATTACATCACAGACAAATTATTCTTATATATATGTTTACGTATTTATAAATTTGCGTTCAGTGATTCAAATGTAGTGAAGTTAGCTTTAATATTAGAGTAAACTGATCTATAATGAAACTTTAAGGGAAGAACATTATTTGTGTTTTGTTGGTCAGTTTTTTCCGATATTTAAATTTTTTAGCGAGTTATGAGTATGTAAAATATAACATTTAAAAAACATCATAGCTTGCTAAAAATTAATATATTGGAAAAAACCGACCAACAAAACACATATAATGTTCTTCCCTTAAAGTTTGATTATAGGTCAGAGTTTACTCTAATATTAAAGCTAACATCACTATATTTGAATCACTGAACGCAAATTTGCTGTTGTACGTATGTCAGTCGGATACAACACATGAGAGTGTGACATCCTTTTAATAAGTCTATAAATTTAAAGTAAGTTTTATAAAATGAATACACGTATAACTTATTACAAAATACAATTTTTTTCTTTCATAATTATGAACTTACACGCATTGATAAAATTTTGCCTGATAGTATTTTTCTGTTTGGGTTCCATATGTTCCATTGGTTCCATAGGTTCCATAGGTTTCATAGATTTCATAGGTTCCGTAGGTTTCATGGGTTTCGCTATCTTAATAATACTATTTGTTGAGTATGGATTATCTAACTGTAAAACATAACATACTTTAATATTACAACTGTGTATTGAAAGAATGAAATTATAATAAATTTACTAAGAATAAAGCTGGATAGAGACGAAAAAAGTCCATTGATGATCTACAAGAAAATTTTTGAATTGGAAAACTAGAGCCATATTTTTGTTCATAATTCTTCAACGCTTGATTAATTGTAATTGGTGTTTGGGAAAACTCGATAACAGAAGTTATAGCTTTCTTATAATATTCTTTATCCATAATCAATGAATCTGGAATTATAAATGAAAATATAGTTAAATTGATCTTAATATAAAATATAAATACAAAAGAAATTGTTTAATATGTTATGACATATTTTTATTATTAAATATAACTGACCAAATTTGAGATATAAGTATAAAATAACATTATTAATTAATAGACTAGTTAACGCTATAAAGTTTTTTCTCTCTAAGCTAGTCACAATTAGATTTTGGTTTTTAATATTTTCACCATTTTTTACGCTTTCAACATATCATTATAGCATATATAATTTTAAATATGTTTATTAATATTATATTAAACAATTTCTAGTGAATTTAAATTTAAAATAATATCATTAAAGGTAAAATTAAGTTTTATTACTAACGTTTTTTATCTTTATTGACTTTTACTTCAGCTTTGAACCCAATCTATAACAATAACAAACAATTATAAACATATATAAAACTAAAAAAAATTTTAATAACATACAATAAGTAAACTATAATTTAGTTTAACTATTATCAACAAAAAAATAAAAAATAAATTACTGTAATTTGAGATTCATATTCATAAAGAATATTTTAAAATTTGAAAAATTACAAAATTGATTATTATTAAATATTGATAGTTTTTAGAAAATTACTATCAATTTTAGTATATATCCAAGCAGATTTAATAACTTTATAATTTGATACCTTTAAGTAATAATTTTATTTTTTTGCTCTACATTAAAAACTCAATGAACCAAAAAAATTAGAGGCGGAGTAATAAACAAAAAAAACCTAATTTTAAAATTATTTATGTTGTAATTTAAATTTTTTTTATTATAATATAGTAATATATAGTAATAATTTATATAAAAGTAATATACATGTATAATAATAATAATAATAATAATACTTGCATTTGAAACAGTAAGGTTATTTGCTATTTTAGGTATTTTAATTTTTTCTTGAGCTATAAAGGTGTTATTAGTTTTTGATTGCTGATTATCTACAGTTTCTTCAGTCATTTTATTTGAACTTTCCTTTTTTCCTTGAGCTATAAAAGTATTATCAGTTTTTGATTGTTGATTATCTACAGTTTCTTCAGTCGTTTTATTTGAACTTTCCTTTTTTCCTTGAGCTATTAAGGTGTTATCAGTTTTTGATTGTTGATTATCTACAGTCTTTTTAGTCAACTCATTTGAACTTTCCTTTTTTCTTTGAGCTATAAAGGTGTTATCAGTTTTTGATTGTTGATAATCTACAGCTACAAAACATATAAAATATATAATGTCGATAAAATAGCTTTACGTAAAAATTATAAACCAAGAAACATAAACATCAATTCCTATATAGTACGTCAACAATAATATAAATTATGATATGGATCATATGGATTAAGAGAAACATTGATGCTGAAGGATTGCATGAAAAGTTTAAACTGATTTATTATTTTTCTATATCTTCATGATACCAATCCATTAGTGAGGTTAGACATTGTTTTATAATTGAGTTTATTTTTACTTATTTTTTGTATTATTCAATTTTTTTTTTTTATATATATATTTTACGGAAATAATAAGTCTTTTATAGTTTAATTATAAATGAATAAGGAAAAAAATTTATTAATATTTTTTCTTTAAATTCTTATAAATTTATTAAATGTTATATAAAATATAAAAAATAAAAATTATAAAATATAAAAATGGTAAATATTAATTAATATTTATTTATTTTTACATTATACACCATTTGACTGCAATTTCTAACATATAATTTTAGTATTTTCTCAAATTGTAACATAATTGTAACTTACAATAGCTAGATAGTATATATTGTATAAAACGGACCCTCGGTATTTTGGTCGTAGATGCTTAACCGACCATGACTCTAATTCACATATTAAACAAGCGAAATTATCAAGAAGAAACACAATGTATAGTCAATATGTTTACAGATTTTCGTATCTGTATAAGAAAATTGTTTTTTTTTTCTGTTGCTAAATTACGGTAAATTGCTTATATAATGGAAATTATATTATGTTATGATAAATACCATATATATATATATTTAAATCATAAGTGATAAATATAAAGTAATACAAAATTATATTAATAGTATATTATATAATATATATAATCATATGCAAGTTAAACTTCCGCGAAAAACTTATTTCATAAACATTTTTACAAAGCATTTATAAACACTAATATAATTTTAAATTAATTAGGAAATCAACAATGTATAGTAAATGAATCCCTATAATATAAAATAAAACAAATGATTCAAGGGATTTGTAGACAATTGTTATGATACAGTTGCAGAAATTAGGAAACATAAGAGTATACTCAAAAAAAATTCAAATTTTCATTGATTGTCAATAGTCTATAGTCAAGCAATATAAGTCTTTGGCACAACTTTTTGTATATTTTAACATTAAAAACCTATATTCAAAAATTACAGAAAATATTACAAATTATTGTTAAATTATAATTATTCTAAAATATTTTAGAACACAAGATTATATCATTTAAAAAACGAATAAATAAAAACTCCCTATTTCCAATGAAGTGTATAATATTTAAATACATAGTTATTTAATTGCATATTTTTAGTACATTTAGTATATTATTATTTATACATTTAATTATTTTAATAATTGCCAGTCTACAGCTTTTGTCATTAATTTTTAATGTATCTAAAAACATTTTCTATTTTAAATTAAAATTTATAATATCCAATACAATTTGATATAAAAGATAATTGGTAACATTCAAAAGCAATATTAATTCATTAAATTTAAAAATTAATTTTGCCGGTTAAACTTAAAGACATATTTGATAGATATATTTGAAAGATATACTTCATATAATTACCTAAAGTTTATTTTATTATTTTTTTTTTTTTTTACTAAATACTATTTAAAAAAATGTTATGAAAAATAGTTAAAAGTACAGTCTATGATCAATTTCTAGCTGGCACTATATAAATTAATTTATTTTAAATTATTTTTAAATTTATTAATCTTTTAGTTCATTTTTATAAATAAGACTATTTACAGGAAAAAAAAATTATATACTTCTTATATTGCCCTTTGTTAAATTAAAAATTGTATTTAATAATTATTATTAAATAAATATTTACCTAAATTGTCAAAATATTCAGTTTCTGAAAAAATATCAACTTCAATGCCATAATCATCCATTGCAAGTTCTTCATCTTCATTAGTGATATTTTGCATGACACTTTTAAATTTTGGTTCTATACGGTTATTTTTTTTTAATGAATCAGTAGGAAATATTTCATATGAAGAATCTTAAAATTAAATATATTTCAAGAATAAATATTTATAAATACACACATACATATAGCGACTAAAAATATTTATTTTCTTAAAAGAAAATTTCAATTTGTATTATAAAAAATTACTTTAAAATTACTTTTAAAGTTAATTTTTCATAACTATTATTTCAAAATAATTTATTGTCATTATAGAACTATATAATGTAAGATAATCAATACATAAAATTATATTAATGGTACATGATATTTATTTACTTCAATAAAATAAAGATTCATAACATTATCCAAAAGATGAATAATGTTATAGCATAAATTAATCGATGATTGTAGAAACGTGACGAGTTATATATTTTATGAAAATGAGATATTAGTTAAAACCTAAACTGGTCATATGTTTCTATGCGTTAATGTAAAAACACATGATTAGTATATTTTTTTTAACAAATATCTCAATTTCATAAAATATGTAACTTCTGACTTTCCAGCAATTATTGATTTAAATATTATAATTACCTAATTTTTTAATAATATTTATAGTAGTCAATATATATAATTTACATTATTTAGTTATTTTTGTCATTATTAAATTGTTAACACTATCTGTAAATACATATATGGGGCAGAAAAAATTATTATAGTCAAAATAATATACTTTTAAGGTGTACGCCACTCTTATCAATGTAGATAAAATACTTCAACATATTTATGGCTTCTTCAATATTATGTGAATTTAATAGTTTATAGTCTGGATGATTAATGAGATTATTTTTTAGTACTCTAATGCTTACATTCTAAAATAAATGATCAATAATATACAGCTGTTATCACATTTAACAGGATAATTAATTTAATATTTACCTGCACATTTTTACATAGATTTTCAATGCTTTTCTGAAGTTGATTTGTAACATATCCTTTTTTTTTTGAATGAACTGGTTCCATTTTTTTTACAAAATCATATCCACGAAAAGCATTACACTCGTTGGTATGATTTTCATAATTATTTGAATTAACATATGAATTATTTAAGGCTACATTTTCTCTCAGTCCAGGACAATATTTTCTAGGATAACGTTTTTTTTTTTTATTTACCTTTTGATTCATAACTAGTTGTCTAAGATGTAATGTTTTTTCATCAATAACAAGTTTTACAAAAGAATTCAAGGATGGATGTGGTGGCACCTAAAATTATATGTATGATTAATGATAAATATGTTGATAACAGTATCAAGGTGATTTTAATTAATAGTATATTTTTAATATACTAAAAATATGCTCTATAATAATATTCTTATTGTATATTATTATTATTTTATTCAAGAACAAATTTATAAAATTAAATATATTTAATATAATAAAAGTAAAATTAATGAAATTATAAAAATATAAAAACTTACTTTCAAAATATCGTTCATATTTTTAATTACATCTAAAACATTATTGAACCCTAATTTTTTATATGGTAAATGTTGACCTTCTAAAGCAACATAATCATCCAATAATTGTGATATTGTACAATTACCAGGATAACTAACTAAAATGCTACGTACAATAGTTTTCACATCATCCATTGTTATATATTCCTAAAAGAAAAAAGAAAATGTATATTCTGCATAAGCTATTTTTTATTAACTTTTTTGTGATAAATTATAATATAATTTTCTATAAACAAAACATTTCTGCATAGCATAAAACATGAATAAAATAAATGCTTAATAAATAATATTTTACACAGATAAAGTACAAATTATTTATGAATTTATTTCTATTTTGTTATAATAACTTTAAATGATTGTTTTAATAAATTACGAAAAAATATGAACATAACTAAACAATGTGACTATTTTCACATTGAAAAGACTCCACACCCGCATGTGTTATCTTCGTTTAACATATGTACAACATAGTAAATTTATGTTCAGTGATTCAAATGTAGTGAAGTTAGCCTTAATATTAGAGTAAACTGACCTAGGTATAATCAAACTTCAAGAGAAGACCATTGTATCTATGTATTGTTGGTTGGTTTTTTCTGATATTTTAATTTTTAAGCGTGTTATGATAATGTAAAATCGTACAGTTAAAAAAACTTCATACCTCGCTTTTAACATTGATAGTTATAGCGGATTAAAGAAAGTAATGACCTATATATATTTTATTTTAGTCTTTGTAAAATAATTTTAAATACATTAATATTGACAAGTTTTGCTAAAAAATGATTACTACTTTTAGTAGCACTTATATTTGTAGACATTTTTTTCCTTTACCTTTTAGCTATAATTGATTACAAAATGCATAGGGATACATCTACCAAGCAAAATACTATGTCCAGTTTCTCAATAGTAATCTATAATTTTAAATCTCATTAAAGAATAAACCATTAGCAATAAAGTCTAAAATAAAATGAAAGTAAACAAAAATTAGCTGTTGATTTTAATGAGAAAGAGAATAGTTTGAACAGCTATATATAAAAAATATAAATTATCTTACGAACATTTGCTGTACACCAAAGACGTTAGTTGATTAACTTCATAAGACAATAATAGGCAAGAACATGAAATAGTGTTGAGTTACTATTATTATTCTAATTAAAGTATGGAGATTTAAAATAGCATACATAAATACACACCTTGTATATAATATTGACATTTTATTTTGTGTCAGACATTTATGAAATATTTAAATAATTTATGATATTTATGAAATATAAATGTTTTAATTATTGCAAACATAAAACAAACACACGTAGCGCAGGAAAAGATCGAAAAATACTAACGTGCCAGCGAACTGGAAAAAATACAATTAACTGAATGGCAATCGCGAAACGAATTGTCGGTTTAATCACTCGCTAAGCGGTGCCCATAAGTGATAATACAAATAGTTTACTCCATGATGACGTTTACGAATGTAATTAAGACTTCTTATCGCTTTTACACCGAATTCGTTCGGACCGAAACGACAAAATGTACCTATAATACTGCGATCATAAGAAATCAGAGTAATTATTATTTATTATTCAATGCGTGCGTTCCGCTTGGACTCTTAAAAGCACAGTCACAGTCATGCTCTTGCTTAGGGATGGCAACGGTATATCAAAAGTATACATACATGAAATCGATTAAAAATATTATTTGAACTTTCGCAGTAAACCGTGAACTACGTAATTCTTAGAATTGTATTATCGTTTCGTGATGTCGGGTGACCCGTATTATTGGTTATCGCCTTATTATCTTTCTTCGAATACAAGTTATTGTCAACTAATTACTATAGCAAAGGCCGACGATATAAAGTATATACTGTGTACAGTGTACAGTACACTCGAAGTACCTGCGACGATTTTATTTTTTGCTGAATAATTAAGAATTTAAGTAGATATCCTAAGATTTTTTTACTAAAAAATTACCATTTATGTAAGGTATTAAGATGTATTATAATCAGGTATGAATTCGTAATGAAACTATGTTAATATTTGTTGAGATAAAGTATTGCCAGGAGTCAGGAAACCTCCCAAAAAAAAATCTCAAAATACGCCACTGATCACCGCATACCTCATGAGCAAAGAAATTGAATGGGCAGTTCACGTTTAGAGGTCAAATAAAATTCTAAAGAAAGCTCTGGAGGGGGAAATTTAATGGAAAAAGATCTAGGGATCACCTTAGACAATGCTGGATAGGCAGGATTAATGAAGATCTAAATAAGTACACACAAGGTTTAACAATAGAAGACAGCTTTGATAGAGAAAGTTAGAAAAAAAATAGTGGAGGCAGCGAAAGTCTTTAAAGGACCGTACAAGCTATGGAAGAAGAATATCGACATTTTTTTAATAAAATCATCGATATTTGATGTATTATTAATATTTGTTAACAACATTTTTTTCAGTTACAAAACTGAAAATTAAATATTAGGTAACAATAATTCAACAAAGCATTTTTTTTTTTAACTGTCATTTTTATCTTAACTTAATCTTGAATTTCACCATTATTTTTAATTGTGAATTCCGATATTTCTCATTGAGTGATTGTAAGTATGTCAATGTTTTTTCAGTTTTATGTTTTGGCAAATAACGTACCTACGAGTATGTTATAAACCTATTATAATCTATAGACACTAAGTCGGAAAGGAATGGGTATAAGGTGGATTGTTAACACTTGGATTTTTTTTCGTTAATTGGGTCTGAGATAAGGTTAATTTTAATATAAATTAATAATTTAATTTCAGTAGTAATTTTGAGGCATGTCTGATTAAGACAGAGAAGAAAATATCAGTGACACATTGATATTATGTTATGTATTAAATATGAAATTATACCAATATATCAAAGCCAAATATCGATATTTGATAATATCAACATATCAAGCCCATGCCTATTTAATTAAATAATTTTTCTTGGTACAAATATTAATAAAATAATATAATAATATAAATACATAAAATACTGGATAGAACTGAAAAAAAAAAAATTACAAAATAATAGTTTTACATTTTTACCTGGGTATATATTTCCAATTTTTTGTAAGTATAAAATTAGATTCTTGTGTATTTTGAAGTTATTATAATTGTTGACTAATGATTCATTTCTAGATTTATCTTTATTGACCATAGGATTATAAATATTGTTTATAATAGAATTTATTATTATCAACATTTGATATTGTGTTTAACTCTTTATCCAGACTTATATGTATTTTCTCGGAAATATTTGTCTAGCATGGGTTCATCTGTTCCTTCAGAAAGACTATATCAAAGGCTAGTTTAACACTTTCTAATTCAAGGAATAGACTTTCAGATAAGAGATCCAGTAATTTACTTTTTAAACTCCATTGATAACGATCTTTAGTTTAATTTTATTTCATATTTTTTGCATTTAATTTTATATGATATTTTAAGAATTACATTTTTTTAAAAGAAAGGAATACATTTATTTTCATTATAATTTTCTATACATACGTTCATAGGCATATCTAGGGGCTTGGGGGGGGGGCATAGCCCCCTCCAGTGCGAATATTAGCCCCCCCCCCCCAGAATTATTTGTATTATTTTTGCTCATTTCGTCGAGTAGTCTTATTTTCATTTAGTTTAGTTTTTTTTTTTTTTTATTATTATTATTATTGTTGTTTTTGCAGCGCCCCCCCCCCCCAATATATTTGATCACCCTACGCCTATGCATACGTACACAGTAGTATATAAAAATTAAAATTATAATTTATTTATATTGTTCGGGTTTTAACATTTTTATAATTTTGTTAAATATTCATGTTTTGATTTATCAATTGATCTCAATTAGTAATAATCAAGAATCGACTATGAATTACAGCCTACGGGCTGACAGTTATAAGTTTATAACCTATATGCGAGTCTATAAACCTTTTTTAGTTTTAGAAAAATATGTCCAATATACAGGTATGTCCATAAAATAGCAATTGATAATTTGAATGATCGCGGGTTAGTTACTCGTATTATGACTCTAAACAAATACTGTTTATCATATTTGTCTCTTCGTCGGAAATAATAGCAGTGCCCATCACCGTATTCCGTGGGGGGGAGGTTTTTCGGATTCAACTCCCCCCCCCCCCCCCCCATGAAATTGTATTGAAAAACATTTATATTGACTTTCTTTGATAATCGTGAAAAAAAAATATATTCTTATCTATATATTTTTTTTGCTTTTGTAGTCAAAAATAGAATACAATTGTAGTAAATATAATATGTGATGTTATCGTTATCCAGGTTTATGGGCGCAGCAATGAATTAATGTTTCGTGACAAATTTAATTTCGTTATTTTTAGTACCTATTCTTTGTATTTTGTTAGTGTATCTAAAACGTCGATAATATTTAATTCTAACTCTGGTAGACGGGCGTATTATTTCTTAAATTTTGATTCCATTCATCGGCGAACAAGGAACTTGTGAAAAACCTATTGATAATTAATTCCAAATAAGTAAGTTTTTTTACTACTATTTTCTACTTATGATTAAAATTTTATTTTATTAGAATAAAATCATAATTTATTTATTTTAAAACAGTTTTAATACTGAGCCATAGATTTCACTAAGTTAATATAATATGAATAATATAAGTGGGTAAAATTGAATATTTTTTTATTTGATGATTAAAATTGTTTTCAATAAATTATTTTTAAGTATAATTTTCTATAGAACGAGTACACAATCTATACCAATCTGAGATTTAATCCATAATTTTATAATATTTATTTAAAACAGATAACTAAGTCGAGAACTTTAAATATTTAGGATCATTTGGACAAAAGGTCGGGGTTTGGCATGGATGTAAAACATAGAATTAAGGACAGTTGGATAAAATGGTTATAAGCGTTTTATGCGATAAGAGAATTCCAATATGGCTGAAAAGTAAAATGTACAGGAGTATAATGAGACCAACTATGCTATATGGTTCGGAGTGTTGGGTAATTGACAAGAAAATAGAACAGAGTATGAGTGTTGTGGAAATGAAAATGTTTAGATTGACGAATGGAGTAACAAAAGATGATAGAATAAGGAACGAATATGTAAGAGGTGGTAATGGTGTAGCATTGATAGTAGACAAGATGAGATAATATTTTTTCTCATCTTGTCTACTAGAGTTAGTTTGGGCATGCGATAAGGCAGAGCAATGGCGAATCCAGGAGGGGACACAGGGGCACGTGCCCCTCCTGTCAAGTGGGATCTAAAAAAAATGACGGGGAAAATTTTTATATTTTTATAGTTTTCATAAATGTTTTATTTGAATAATTTTTTTTACGTACACTATAATTTAAATAATTTGAACTTGACATTAATAAATATCTTATTATAACTCTATGGTATTTACTAATTACTTTTAATATCGTATTTTTCTATTGTCGGACTCCGGAACTCCCAGCATAGCACCACGTGTCGGACTCCCGGCGTTATCACTTTTTTTTCAGATTGTTATAATTTAAAAGCATTATTATTTCACTAATCTTATTATTATATTATCTTCTTTCACGTAATAACTTTTTGTGACAAAATATACTAGTAATATCGTACATTTGTTCACGAAAATCTAATAAGGAAACATCTTAATAATCAATGTAATTATTTATTTTATTTCATTTTTTAGAATCCGTAGGTACCTATTGATAATATTGAATACTAATTATAAAATTTTGTGTATTTTTATATTATATTAATATGTTAAAAAAATGGAAAAATGAAAAAAATGGATGTTGAAATACGGATTCCCAGAATAACAAACATACAACAAATTTTACAAGAATGATTATTGTGCCTCCCTGTCAAAATATTCTGGATTCGCCACTAAGGCAGAGGAAATAAAAATAGTAAGAGTGGTTATGCAAATAAACGCTGGAGGTCGAGTGGAGGATTAGGACAACGGTGGCCTACCCGAATAATTTTAAGAAAGGTGAAGATCATAGTAGCTATATTTCCACGTAAGAAAATTGTAATATGTTCACTTACTTATAACATGTTTGCTTTCAGCTAGGTGAATATCAAAAATTAAATTTATAATATATAAATATTTATAATTATAATATATTTATAATTTATAAATATAAAATTATTCAACAGTTGTATGGATATTATATTATGTTGTATGGAGTTTTCAACAACTTCCAAGATTCAACACTGAGTCAACGTTTAAAATCAATAACGTTAGCAAGATGAAATTTGTATATTATACCCATAATGCTATACAGGGACTAATAGTTTAGAATGAATTTTGGCCAACACAAGTTAATAGATTTGCAAATGATTTATAGTCGCTAATTATAAGTTATAACCGAGGCAGTATTTGGATGCACGACTTGATCTTGTAAAAAATGCACAAGCTTTTTATAAATTATCATCCAGATTTAG